GACCAACGGCTTTACGTGCTTTCCGAGGCACGGGGGTGATACATCGCCAACTTCCTGACTCCGGGCAGCTATTGAGAATTTCTTGACAGAAAAACTCAATAATTGATTTTTTGGCCCGACCCGAGATTCGAACCCAGGACCTCACGATCAGCAGTCACACTACTACAACCACTAGACCAACGAGGCAGTCATAACCATATATCACCATATACAAGTAACACGTTGGCAACGGTGACGGAATGGCAACGTCGCATCTCCTAATTTTGTGCGGAAGTCAAATACGGCCATAAATGAAAGTATTCACAAATCGACAGCAGCGCTATTACTTTTGCAACGAAAATTAGCGGAACTACGTAAATATTCAGTACAGCAAGATTGGAAGAAAAATGACGTCCAGTCGTAAGCAGGTTGACGCCACATTATATGCAAAATTGGCCATAGTGGACGTACAATAAGTTATGGGATGTTTATATATATATATATATATATATATATATATATATATTTATTTATATATATATATATATATAACATTTACAAAAATTTAATGACAAAATATAATTTGCAAATTGTATGTGGTTTTATTATCTCTGCATTGGCCGAGGAGTAAGAGGATTGTCAAAGACCCCGCATTACCGCTACTCGTGTGAGTTACAGGAAATAAAATCACATAGAATTTGAAAATTAATTTTTTTTATGTGTTTTTTTGAAAAAGAATTATTTCTATACGCTTGGATACTGATTCTGATAACACACGTTACGGGAACCACAGGGTTTTGTTACATATTGCATATATATATATATATATATATATATATAGAGAGAAGAGAGATAGATCTCTTTACGGTAAATGTTGATCAGACGCGACTTCACGCGAGCACACTTTGTTGATCCGAAAAAGCATGGTGGTCCGGCGCCTTTTGTTGATCCAATATGCATTTCTGGTATTGGCTCCGACCGGATCAACATCTGACTCACGAGACTGTTTGCTAGCGTTGGCCGAAGTTGATCCGATATACAAATCCACCTTGCGATGGTTACGGAAAATGTTGATCAGATTTAAATGAGCCAATCAGAGCACAGTAAACGATAAGATAAACGATCGGATTGGCTGAATGCAGCCGCGACGTTGCCGTTTCGTATCTTTGGCGGTACAAGCTACAGATTAAATGCGTGTTCAATGCAATAATGCATTTAGGGTGCTGTTTGGTCTGCCTCGTTATTGTGATGCGGTGGGTATGTTCGCGGAAGTGCGTGTGGATTGTTTCTACACCACCATGCGTAAACGATGCACATCCCTGGTGCGCAGGGTGCGGGCCAGTTCCAATGGTATCCTTAGGGCATTTTCTGACAGGTTTAAGGTCAGTACCTGAACCATTGTCATATGGTGCACGTGCTGACTAATCAGGCCTGTCTTATATATAGTTTTAAAATTAGGTAAATAGTTTTAAGTTTTACTAAAATTAGTTTTAGGATTTGTATTATTACTAACATCTACGACTTTTTTTAACGAATTACTCGACAACGCCCCTTCTTGTAGCGGAAGTGGTGGCAACGGCGACATAAGGTATTCGTCTGAGTGCGTGTTTGCGTGTGCTTGCGTGCGTGCGTGTATGCGTTTTGTGTGTGTGTGTGTGTTTTGTGTGTGTGTGCGCGAGAGCGTTTGCGCGTGTGTGTGCGCGTGCGTGTGGGTGTATGCGCATACACGCGACGCTCCGCTTCGCGCTGTACTCACATAAATACAGACACACACACACACACACACACACACACACACACACACACACACCCACACACACCCACACACACGCGCGCGACACGCACACACACACACACACAAACACAGACACAAACACACATACACACATACAAACACACGCGCGCGCACACATACAAACACGCAGGCGCGCGCACACATAAACATACGCGCGCGCGCTCGCACACACACACTCCCGCACATACACTCACACATACGCGCGCGCACGAACGAACACACATACACGCACAAGCATATCACACAACAACAGTGGACACACGCACGCTCACACGCACAACCTCGTACCCACACACAAAAGCAAACACACGCACAACCGCACACACACACACGAACAACAGTTAACACACGCACGCACACACTCACACACACCCGCACACTCACACACACGCGCACACACACACACACCCTCACACTCACACACACGCGCGCCCTCACACATACAAACACACACACACACACACACACGTACTAAAAAAACACAACAGTGCACACACACACATACACACACACGCGCGCACGCACATGCGTTCACACGAACACACATGAACGCACATACACCCACACACACACACGCACACACACACACACACACACACACACACACACACACACACACACACACACACACACACGACGCACGCACGCACGCAAACACACACACACACACTCGAGTTGCACCCCCACCCTCACACACACACACACACACACACCACACTCGAGTGACAAATTAATTTGTAATAAAGTACTATCCATCATCTTCTCATTGATCTATGACAAATGAATAAAATGACACAAATTCACTCACACGATAACAAAAACTCAAACAAACTTCTTTCCACAATAAAACCTGCCAAAGTTTGATCCACAAAATCAGCAGATAACGTATTTTCTTACCTTATTACTAAAACGAAGTAGCCTACTGGGTTCTCTGTCACACACAGAACGCGACGTTGCCGCTTCGTGTTCGAGTACCTATTCATCAATTATGGCTCCGGATCCACTTAGTCTAAGTAAATGTCGCATATAAATTAAATATACTCTGGATCTAAAAAATCATATTCAGTATGATTTTTGCGACCGTTGATAGATCAAGAAATGTTGGTCAAATCGCTGACGAGTATATTGCAGTGCAGATCCACCGACATCACACGCGCATCAAGAATGGATCAAAGTATATCAGTTTGTGCGACGAGGAGCTGAGCAAACACGTCAAATAGGTGGATCAACAATTACCGTGAAAGGATGATTATATATATATATATATATATATATATATATATATATATATATATATATATATATATATGTAATGAAATGAATGATATTTCATTAATTTGAATTTGCTGCGCTTCGCGTATCTATGTTGTCTGTGGAAGATGGTAGAGGGCGCATCGAAGTGATGTGTAAACTATGATTCAATGGCGGATGACGTTTAGATTATTTTGTGCATTTTATTGTTATAAAAACTTGTAGAGAGATAAACCGAAGGATACGATTGAGGAAGCAATATTAGTAAACTTTAAATGTCGTTTCTTTGTATTTTCAGGTGAGATAGAAGTGTAACTGTCATAACTTGATAATTGTTGTAATATTGGAAAGACGTGTTAAATAAAACAAAACTTTGTATTTTCAGAGAAACAATTTGTGGTTTATTTTGAAGATCCTCAATAATATACCTTATATATATATATATATATATATATATATATATATATGTTAAATTTATTTTAATTATTGAATGATTTTACTGTATTTCAATATTTTATTGTATTAACTTGGAAACTTGACTTTTTTTGTATCCTACATTTATCTTAAAGGATAAGCCTCTGTCTTAAGGGGGGAGATGTTATGAACCGATGTACAAAGTAGTAATTGCTGTTGTAAGCATTATGTAACGTATATAAAAGTGATTTTAAATATGATTTAAGTAGTCAAACTAACCTTTTTTCGGTACACTTATTTCTTATAGTTTATAATATTCATAAGTGTAATTAAATTCGTTTTGCAGTAGTAAAAGGTGTCTTTTTTGTTCAAAAGGATCCCAGGCGAGCCATCCTAACAGTACGTTTTATAAATTTACTAGTTATTATTAAGAGTTATTTTGCTTCCTTATATTTATAAAGAAAAAGAATTTTAAGCCTAGCCTTGGGGAAGCATTTTTTTTCTAGTGTCATTAAAATAATAACCATTATGAGAGTTCTTATTTCTATCATTATTCTTCTTCTCATCAGTGATACATGATTTTCTCTGAAAATTAAAAGTTAATTAAAAAAAAAATAATAACTCGAAACAAAAGACCTATAGTCAACCAAATCTAAGAAATACCTTTTGACGTTTCACATTAATCATTCCTTTCACAAGCATACTCACGCGATTTAAAACAACCTTTTCCGTAAATCCGAAGAATTTTACAAAATAAAAGTCTTAATTTTGTTTAATTCAATAAAAGTCCCTTTGCAGCGTGAGCGACGTATTGTTTATTTTCGATCATGAGGTTCTGGGTTCAAATACTGTGAGGAAAATGGCTAAATACAGTCTATTCATACAGTATTTATCAAATATTTATGTTTTACACATTTAGGAACAACAAATGCTTCATACATACATAAAAAATACGAAATTTGTTAACCTCCTAAATCTTTCTCCACTCTATTCCCAACTTTTCCAGTTTATATTTCAAAGTCAATACAATAGCCAGTAAATGCACACTTTGTTTAAATCTTGTATCCTCGTTTCGTTGGTCTTTTGGGCATATACTGCGTGAGCAAACTCCTTCCTTTGAATTTCACCACTGACTCATCTGTTGCAATGTTCTATGTAGGGTAATAGTTTTTTATGAATGATTTTCTTATTTCATCAATAAACGGTCTGATTTTGTACAATTTGTCGTAGTTAAGATCTGTCCTAATAGGAACCAAGTTGTTACCATTCAAATGTAAGCTCCCTTGAATCCAGGAAAAAATCGTCAGAGGCATGAATACATACGACGATATGTACTCGTCTCGTAAGGATGAAGAAGACCATAATCCCGGTAGCTTGGGCTTTTTTTATTCCCATCACTAAATTGAGAGCAATAAAAACTTCCATTTCTTCTTCTGTGACAGGCTTATAAAGTCCTCCTTTTTGTTCTGCATATTAGTTAGTATGAAATGTAATGTATTGAACAAGCTCTTTTGTCCAGAATAATCGATTTTTTTTAGTGGAGATAGTTCTCTGTGAGCGGCTAGAGACAAGTTAGTAGGTCCGTGATGTATGGAGACAAAATCATCAGCAAGTAGAATTGAGTAGGATTTTTTTTTTCATTTTGGAGCCTGTATTTCAACCTGAGCCTACCAGGAGTAGATGGTCCTGGTTGTGATTCTGGTGATGATGATGGAACTAAAAGCTGAAAAAAAGATAATTTGGTTAGAGGTGTGTCATCTTCGCTGTCAAATTTCCCTGTACCTTGGAAGTCTTCTTCGAGAAAAATTTCTTCCAACGTCGTACTCTGTCCTTCAATGATAACTTCATCTTCGATATCCGAACCATCGCCACCCGCATAACTACCATCATCGGAAGGTATATCAACATATACCGATAAGGCATTCTCAATTTCCCAATACAATAAGCATCTTCTTTCCATTTTCTGTAAAAATAAAACCAATATAATTTATATCTACTTTTGATAACTTTTTTACCTTTACAGTACGGTGGTTCCCATTGCTTAAATTACGCGTTATTATCAAAAACTTTGCCTATTATATTTATATTTATTATACGTAATTAATCATATTTCAACGAAAAGAGAGTATAAATAATTCATATTTGTAAATAATTTACTTACCAATTAAATAAAACAGTTGCGAAACAATGAATTCAAATTTCACCAACTTTCGTTTCAAACAAAGACATTTAAGTATGTAATAGACCGGACATCAGCAACAAAACTGTAACTGTGTCTGTAACTTTTGTCCAAAAGGATATATCTCTGATTTTTGTATTAGTGACATCAGGGTATAGGTATGAAAGTCCTCAGAAGCTTGCTTGATACTAGCACCATCTCACAGTCGTAAAAAGCACTATTTTCTCCAGGGAGCGAGCGCTTGGAACATTGTAACCGTATTTTGTGAATTGCATTTTTCTTAGTTAAAGAGGCACCGAGTTTGCTATTTTATCTCCTTCTAGTATTAATAAATGTTTAAATAAAATAAAAAATAACCAACATTTAGGCAGTTATTGAGTTAAAATAGTATTTTATACGTAGGTATGCTAGAACGAATCTTAAATTTTTATCGCATATTATAATTGGTGCATTCCATATTGTATTCCAATTAAACATATTATTAAGTTTCACGAAAAAACCCCACTAAAACACGAATGTACTTTCCCTAAAAACTATGGGGTGCATTTTATGCTATAGATGACCAACCTATTTTAAAATTTGACGTTGTTAAATGCATAAATATGGCGCTATTGGCTTCTATTCTCTTGTCTTCAGCGAATGTTATTTAATTGATTTAATTAATATTGCAGAACTTATCAGGTTTTCTAGTGAAAATGGTGTTTTCGTGTTGTGTGAAAGGTTGTAGAAGTGAAAGTTACCCTGGATGTGGTTTGTCATTCCATAGATAAGCAAAATTTATAGATTATATTGTGATATGTTCACACTTTCGTAGTTTTAATATTGTTTTTAAGTGTTAATTTCGTGAATACAGTATCTGCTATTTTTCAATTTTGATTATGAATCTCTCCTGTTATTCTCAGTTACCTACCTACCTACTACTATACGTTTTTTTTTTCGGCGGTAGGTGAAGAAAAAGTTAACACATACGTAAAATTTTAATTTGTATTTTAAATTAACTTATACAATATTCTACATATTTTGTTACATATTTGAGTGCTAATTAACACCATTTTCTTGGTAATCGCATTTGTACAACTGTGTATATGTGAATTCATTCCATCTAAATACACCATCTGCCAGCATATTACACACACTTGGATTTCGTATATATCTTGGCACAACACAATGTCTAACTTGATGAGATTAGAACTGCACAGAACAGTTTGGAGGAATGCTTTTCAAAAAGGATGGCCGAACTGGAAGCACAGTTACACACGGGGGGATCCGCCAAGGACACGGTTGCAAAGGTGGCTGAGGAGTTTTGAACCTTCCGTGAAGTGATGTTCTCTATTATTTTTTTTAGTTTATTTAAGGACCAGTAAACAGCTTCAACAGAGGCTTAATAACTACAGTCTTAATCCTAAAATTTGAGTTTAGTGAAGCCAATACCACCAGCCTCAGATAATGATTTATAGAATAAACTACAAAAGTGAGAGATGTGAAGGAGGACTTACTACATAAAATACAATATTACAAAATGAAAAAAAAAAACTGTTCACATTTTAGTTTTGATTTCAGAAAAATTATATAATTTAAATTATGTTTTGATTTATTTTATTTAGTTTTTAGTTATCACGACTCATAAGCTTATTAATCACTTTGCTTCTATAGGAATTAGCACTGTTATTAAAAATGTCAATGTCCCAAAAGTGATCATTATAATTTTGCATTAAGCGATACAACGGCGCTCTTTTGCCAGCATTGGTTCTACACAAGGGCAAATGTTTGACGGGAGTATGTTGATCTTACACGTGATCGAGTAGGTACACGATATCGCAATTTATTTGTTACAGGAATGCAATCATATCTATTATGGCAAAGGTCAAATAATAACATTGCTACTAATTGTTGTCGTCTGAGCTTTAAAGTTAACATTTTGTATTTATTTATAATAGCATTATACGAACAATATTTATGCTTACATCTATAGAACATTGACTTAAAAAACTTTTTTTTGTACCCTCTCAATCTGATCGGTATAGACATTATAAAAAAGATTCCACAAAGCAACAGCGTATTCCAACTGAGAGCGTATCAGTGCCTTATACAAAAGGATATATGTTGCTGGGTTTGTGAAATCCTTACAGGCTCTCATTACAAACCCAAACATTTTAAGAGCTTTATTACATATTTGTTCAACATGTGTATCGAGTGTTAATTTACTGTTAATGGTAATGCCGAGGTCACAAATAGAATGTACTTTTTCAATAGTAGAGCTGCACAGGGAATATGATTGTTGATTAACATTAATTTTCTTAGTGACAGTTAACATTTTGCACTTATTAATACTAAGACTTAATTTATTTTTTATACAATAAGCAGAAAAGCGGTCCAAGTCATCCTGGAGTCTGAGGTGATCATCATTGTCACAAATGGTACGATAAATTTTAAGGTCGTCAGCATATAGTAAAAAGTTACTGTGCTGAAAACAGGAGTCAATATCATTAATAAAAAGTATAAATAATAGTGGTCCCAATATAGATCCTTGAGGTACCCCGGAGGTGATAGACACAGACTCTGATTCGTAACCATTAATAACAACCTTTTGCGTGCGGTTAGTTACGTATGATTTAAACCACCGCCAAAGATTGCCACGTATACCGTTGAAAGCAATTTTATCAAGTAGGATTTTGTGATCAACTCTGTCGAAAGCTTTACGAAAGTCTGTATAAATACAGTCAGTTTGATGATTTGAGTCTAAATTTTCGAATAAGTCCGTTAGATATATTAATAAATTGGTAGTAGTTGATCGTCGTCTTACAAAACCGTGTTGTTCGGGTATGATTAAATTATGCAGTGATGGATATATAGAATTAAAAATTAATCGTTCGAAGAGCTTCGACACAGCTGATAAAATAGAAATAGGACGGTAGTTCTCAACATTTCGTTTTGAACCACACTTATATACAGGCACGATTCTAGCGGCTTTCCATATGTTAGGACATATACCTTCACTTAAACATTTATTAAAAAGGAAACACAGCGGTTTAGCAATATTAACTGCTGTATTTTTCAGAAATACTGGTGATATATTATCGGGCCACATACCCTTGTTTGTATTTAACGCCTGTAACTCTTTAAGAACTTCATCCTCTGATAGTATGAGAGATGTTAAATTAATGTGTGAATCAGGGCACTGTGTAAAGTCGATACTATCAATATCATATTCAGCTGAAACTGAAGATGCTTCAAAGGTTGAGTGAAAAAACATTGAAAATAGGGTACATGCTTCTGTAGGATTAGTGGCGTTATTATCATTATAGTAAACATTGTCCGGAATACTAGCAGTATTTTTACGCTTTGATATATATGTCCAGAAATGCTTTATATCTTTTTTTAATATTATTTTGTATTGACGACATGTAGTTTTTATATCTTTTTGCACACTCTTTATTAAAGTACTTTCTAAGCCTAGAGAATTCGTTATAATCATAAGAGTTTTCATATTTTTTCCACTTGATCCAGGCCCGCTCTTTACGTTTGAAAGTGTGAATCAGAGTGGCGTTAAACCAAACAGGGAATGAAGATTGTTTTAAGATTTTTGTAGGTATGAACTTTTTAATAAAACCATAAAGTATTTCGTAAAAATCTATCACAGCCTCTTCAGCAGATTTACCTGAGAACATTTCGTCCCATGCTACCTTGGAAAGCTTATTATTTATGAAGGGGTAGTCAGCATTTCGAAAACAAAGCTGTCTTCGTGAAATCTTTGGCGTAGACTTGTTATCATGCATATAAGGCACTAAAGCATAAAAAGTAGGATGAAGACTATCCAATGGTAACAAATTATAAGGAGCATCCATAATTTTACATTCTAAAATATTTGATATAAATAAATCTAAGGTGCGGTCATTTAAGTTTCTAAAGTGATTAAATTGGAAGCTGTCCGTCAAAGCCATAAAATTAATTAAGTGCCTAGAAGATAAAGATGCGTTACTATAAAAGGTAGGTTCCAGATAATTATCTTTAGGAAGCCAATTAATTGTGGGTAAGTTAAAGTCTCCCACCATTAAAAATTTACATGAGTCTAAAGGTTGCATGACATAACATATGTAATCTAGGTAAGAAAGGTATACTTCGTTATTTAAATCGGGTGGAATATTGTAGCGCATAACAGAAGCTTATTAGAACCCGAACTACTAAACCACCAGGAGTACCAAAATTTTCAGTTTGTGGGTTGTGTGTGGGGGGTTTTTTGGGGAGGGGGGGGGGGTGGGATTTTTTTTTTAGGGGGGGGCGGGGGCGGCGGGGGAGGGTGGGGTTTTTGGAGTTGTTGGGGGGGGTGGGGGGGGGTGGGTGGGGGGGGGGGGGGGGGTTGGGGGGTTGAGTTTTTTGTAATTGTGGGGGCTCTCGGGGGTCGGGGTTCTTTTCTATAAGTATCATGGTATGGTCAACAATAGAAGGCGGCTCGGGGGGGAGCGTGAGGCGCGGAGGGCAGGCCGTATGGCACGGCAGCAAGTGAGCTGCGCACCGCTACTAATACGCCACCGCCGTCTTTACGGCCGGTCACCGTCCGATTCCGATCGCTGCGAAATACTTTGTAACGTTGATCTATTAATTCGTTATCATAAATGCCACTATGAAGCCAAGTTTCTGTCAATATTATTATGTCATAATCGTGAAGTAAAATATTCATAAAAAGAGTGTGCAACTTAGTTCTTAAGCCTCGACAGTTCTGATAGTAAATTGATATGTTTTTTATTTCGGGATCCATTTAATAAAAGTTCATAATTTATTCA